TCCGAAGCATATGAACGAGCGAATTGGCAGAAACTTGAGAAGATAATGGATACGAAGGCTTATTTAAGATCGTATAAAATATACCTTAACCTTAATGCAGTTAATATTAAAATAGATGGCGTACCGGGTTGCTGTTCGCCTATTAATCGGCGCGACTACTTGATACTGTGGTAACGGTAATTTTTTTTACTTACTATGAAAGATTCGAACGCTTGAAATTAAGGCGTGAATAAAGAATAAGTGGACGCTAAAAATTTAAATCGAATGTGATTAAGTATATCTCCGGGTAGAGAACTCATTCGATATTGTAATAATCTAAAATTCAATGTCTCTCTTCCATCTGTATATATATTCGTCGAGTGTCTCGACGTTTCATCTAATCTCGTCATTCATACATCTTAGTAATTTTTATTTTAAAGTAATTTTAATTTTAATTTAAAAGCTCCCTACATCGCAGGAGTAACTGTACTATCGACGTTAGTTGTACAGCTTCTATCGAGTAATCGCGAACGTAATATCTTAAAACTCTGTCCGGTCCTAGTGACGAGGGAAGCAGCTTCGATATGGTGACGGATTACACGGGGAATTGCGACCGGCATTTCGTGAATAATCCACGACGTCGCAGATGTTTCTGTATATACGAGGGATGACGCTATACATCGGATGATGCGCTGGAAAGGTTCAACCGCGTTTAACTTGAGCTCGTCGATGCGGTGTATCTTTGAAGGCCCAGTGACACGAGATCTGCTATCGATTGCTCGTTAGTGCGTCGGAAAAGTCATTTTACCGTGCGGTTAGCCAACGACAAGTTGCCGCCGGAAACTTATCTCCGTAACTTATCATCAATTAACGACGCTTTATCAATGGATCGAGCTTATGACGAACCGATTCTATAATTATAAGGAGACAATTCGATTCTCAATATCGTACTCCTCTTACATTCAAATTAGTACATTAAAGATGACACGTACGATTGAACGAACCTACCGCAGGTTAGTTCTTACTGAAACTGCATGCATCATGTTCTTTCCTCCCGTGGCGTCTTAGGACGTTTCGATTCGAAAATGCCTCACGTAGTTGTTTTACCACAGAGGATTAACACTGTACGACGCACATAACGTAATAAACAAACTCTGGACAAAGCAATTTCGCTGCTACGTGCAACTGACAACTGGCGACAAGTTCAAACCTTCCGGTATTCCCCTCGGCCAGTATAAATAGACGACCATGTTCTCCAGACATAGTCAGTCAGCCAGTCGCACGAATCAATATCAGTGTCGAGTCATCGAGATCATCAGTCGAACGAATAAGTATAACGAATCAGTCTAGCGAATCAGCATAACAATTAGTATCAGTACCGCGGTATCGCGCGATCTTATAACGAACATCATCGAGCGAGCAACGCTTGCGATTAACTTTGTATTCTACATTTTAAAATATCTGTAAATATAGTTAACGAGATCAACTCGTCTCGTTGTCAATTTAACCAACAACATGTCTCACCGTCTACCACATTCCTCTCTTCTTTCTTCTCTTTTTCGCCCTTCATACACAGTTTGAATGCCACGCTGAGAATTATCGAAATACACGTGCCGAGCTCGCACCAATTACTTACGATTTATACGAGCCCATGAGAATCAAGTTATGGGAATATAGCTTTGTCGCTATCCGATCTCTGGTAGGGAAAAATGATCCCCGTTATCGGGGGATTTCGTTAAACCAAACCGGATTTAGCCGGGTATGCGATAGAGGCGTCTCGGAAAATTTGCCAATCACACGGCTCGTTAATGAAAGTCTTCCCAGGTGCCTGTTTATACTGCGCAACTGGAGGCGTGAGGGTAAACGTCTTACGTTCGTGCTGTAATATCGCGTCGGATGATATCGGGATTAGCAGCCGCCTCCGCGAACCGTAGTATATTACGTTTAGCCGGTTGAACGGTAAAACGGCTGGCCGTAGGAAAGTTAAACGCGACGAAATTAGAGGATCGAATCGGTCGATTCCTATGGGAGAGGTCAGGAATTGGAAATCCGTCGTTGGAAATCTCGAAGAAGCAGATTGCTTCGAATTAAGAAGGCTCCCGCGTTCCCACTATCGATCCACCGAGATTCATCGTGCTCTTCCACCACCTCATCGTTTCTGCCCCCGTTCCATCCCGCCTCTTCCCGTTCTCTTTCCCTCTCCGTATCTTTTCCCTATGAGCGTAAGGGATCACGTTCCACGAGGGTGACAATAAAAGTGGAAATAAACTTTTTAATACGTTTCACTTTGGCCTGGTTGTTCGGCGACGCGGCCTCTGCAGGGATTCGACCGCTGCGACCAAGGATACCTCGCGGTAACTTGAAATTTTTAATTAAAGTCATAACCGACTGCGGCTTTTTGTCCGGCTCCTCGAGATCGCCCACTTTGTATCCCTAGATACGGTTGCCTTGTCATTGTGTCCGCGAATCGTTTAGCGACTACAATGGCGTGTACTAAATTCAACGGTAAAAAAGTGTAAAAAATCCGTGGAAGTATAGGAGAAGAAGAAAGCGATGGATATTCTTATCTTCGAGATCGAAACTTTTCAGAGTTCATAAGGAAAGTAGATTCTCCGGTATTTCCTCGTGTTTATGGGATTGCTCTTGCAAGAGAGAGGACGTTTTCGTTTTAATTAAAATCCTGAATGATGAAAGAAACAAACGGCGGAAATTAGCGCGAGAGCTAAGTTAATCTTCGTCCCTCGAAGCATTTCCACCACGTTTCGACGACGCTGGGCATCCGGCAGGTCGCCGTTTCGCACGATATTTAGTAATTAGCCAAGGAAATACGGGAAACACGCGACAAAAGGCGGGAATTCATGCGGAGTTAACCCGATTCGCCGTCGAGTCGTAAAAGCAGCCGACCCCGGAAGCCAGGCAATGCCCTTTTAACTAGAAACGGACAGGGCAAGAAGCGAAGTGGTAGCCATGCTATGAATGTCTGAATTTACGTTAAAGACTGGCCCCAGCACTGCCTCTGTCCGAATTTCTAAAGAAACCCTCGTCGCGAAAAATCTGCCCTGCCCTCTTCTGCTTTCCAGTGAATCGAGCAAAAAGTAGATCTTGTTATGATTGTGCCGCACCGTAGTTTCTTAAATTAAACGTCCGACGCGACTTCGTCGTTCTTAATATTTCATAGCATTTTCTCTCTGGCCCTTTCCAGTACTTTTTCTCCGACTATAACGATATTTCAAAGCACCATTACACATGGAGGTAGCTTTATCCATTCGATTACTCGCGTATACACTGTACATGGTGAAATTTCATCGAAAGATTAACATATTTGTTTTATTTTTAAGTTGTGATCGAAGAATATTTCTCTGCTGTCGATTTTTTATTTCTTCGTATAACCGGATTACTTTGCCAGATATAAACTGAAACAAGCAATGTATCCGTGTCGTTGAAGTTTTATCTTCATCCGTAATAACATTTTATAAAATATACGTAAACCTTTAGAATGTAGCTTGAAATATGTGTCAATTGATGTAACATATCAATATGAGACAAAAGTGCCTTCGCAAGATTAATTTTCATTAAAACTTAATTGTATTACCTTTCTAATGGTAGCAATTTTAGCTTCTAACTAATGTTTCTATCGATATCTATTAACTGTATATGGTTGCCCGAGATAAAGTCAGTGGTAAAAACGAAATTAAATCAGTCGAATTGATTTTGGGATTAAATCGAACGTTTATTTCGAAAGTGGCTTGATTTCGTTTCTTGCAGAAATTAGGGATTCACGCATATTTCAATGTGAGCATTTTATTTGTACACAATTTATAATTTAAATTTTAATACATTCGTTTGTTTCCATCAATTGAAATTCCGTTAATAAATGGAATTGCGTAATCATTTACTTTGCAAGCCGTGTAAGTTCATTTCCTGTAATCTGTAACACGATCAAACAGTAGGAGCACCAATAATCAAAAACAAATGGGTAGCGAATGTAATCCTAACTTTTGTATCTGACATAATATATATTGCAAATACGGATGTGAGCAAGTTATTTAAATGCGATTCGGTAATATCGTCGATTATTATTTCATTTATTAAATTGTTGTTTTTATTATTATTATGAGATTAAATTGTTATAATTAAATGTTATTGTTATAACTTGAAAGTATTACAAGATTAATAATAGTTTTACACTTACATCAGGTCGTATCGAAGTGCAAGTCATTTGGTTTTAAAGAAAATATTACGACGTTGCATTCTTTTCTCAATTGACAAACTCGCATTAACATTAAAATCAGACAACGATACGGGTGTTGTTACCGTACTCTAACATGATATTACGATAATTGTCATTTATTTACTTTTATTCTATCTATTATCAAATACCGTGCATTTTTTGTATATTTCTGTACGCTGTGTATATATATATATTTTTTTTTTTAATAATTTTAAATACTTAAACTCTAATGAATTGTACAATTCACCATTTTTGTGAACGACGTAAATCCATTCGTGACTCCAGAAAAGATATATTGGTCTAGTTAATTCTAAAAAAAAGCTATTCGTATAATGTATTTACATTTACATAAACACATAGAGAATATTTCAATACGATGGAAACGCAAACACTCGAATGCTTGAAAACAAGAGAAAATGGACTCTCCATCACTTACACCACTCCCAAAATAAACGATTCGAGTACGTGTGTTTGTCACACTCTTGCACATTGAAAAAATCACGCTATCTGACTGCTATAATCTTTCGACTAACGAAACACATATATATCTACATTGCATAATTCATCGATGCTTTCGCGAGATGGGAAGACAAAAGAAGGTCCTAAAGAAAGCTCGAAAGAGAAATGGACTGTCTGGTAGGAATGTAGGAGGACAAATGGAAAAACGCGGCCGATTCGATTTATATAAATTCATGGCCGATCTCTCTGGAGAGAGAACGGCAGAGCGTATCACACAGGCACAAGGCGGTAATCCAACGGCGCTCATGATCCTTATCGTTTGTCTTTGCAGAGGCTTACGTGAATCTGGGCGCGGCGCTGGCCTCGGTCGGACGTGGAACGGAAGCGGCTGCGGTTTTGCGGGCCGGCGCATCCTTGGACGGTTCCGGCCTCAAGGACAAGAGGGCTCACGAGGCAGCCAGAGTACAGGCCCTCCTTCAATTAGGCGCTCTCTACGCCGATCAGGGTAGATTACAAAGGGCCCTGTCCGCGTACAGGGAAGCGCTGCATGCGTTGCCAGATCACTATCCACCTCAGGTCAGTGTTCAAATCACTTGCAGCTTGTTACTCCATTTACGCAGAGCAGCCACTTACGGACAAGCAGCTGCACTTCGCATTCCTGCATTTCCTTTGACGAATCGTCTTCCATCAAATCGATTTGTCAAAGGAATTTGTACGATTGATTTTACGGGAAATTACGCGACTTGTATATTCTCTGACCGCGTCTCGTGTTATTTGACACGTAAGAAGATATATATACCTACGATGAAGTCGTAGATAGGATTCAATCGGAGTGCTCGTTTACGTTAAGAAGGATCGGTTATGGCGAATCATGCCTAACACGCTTCGCAATTATTCATGCCACACGCGAGTCGAACTGGAGGCGAGAGGGTCTTGTAAAATTATAATTCGTTTACTATCGATCGACAGGCGGTACGATGTTTTGATTGTAACATTACCGCGAGCTTCTTCATTAAATCGAATTAGTAGCCGCGCACGATCGCGCGCGAAGGTATGTTTGCCCGTATGAATTGCAATTTTCGTAATTACCCGTTGTTGGAAAACACGCGAGGATACCAGGGGTGGCTAATTAAATTCACCAAGTATCGATCGTGCCCCAAAGTTGCACTCCTGCTATGATCGTTTTTTGGACGAGTCCAAGACAAAGTCGCGTATGTGCACGGCCAAAGCAATTAACGTTTTATCGACGCGTGGAAAAAATAAAGAAAAAAAGAAAGAAATAAACGGGCGAAATAGCAGTTTCCATACGAAAAGTAGCGCCGATGTCGACGTTGTTTGCATCACCGAGAGCGGAATGTCCCGCGTATGCAAGCCGGCCGCAAATATGATTTTCAGTCGCGTCGTAAACCAAAATTAAAAATTTTAAGCTCGCCGTAATCCTGCGCAACCGTTCTACCTCTCCCTCGGCCCATGGTATTTCTCCCGTCCATTTCCTCGCGTATCGTGCTTTCCTTTTTGCAACGCGCGAGAAAAAAAAATTACCGTCGCATTTAACTCTTTCAATTTTCATTTAATCTCCTGCGAATTTCCGCGCGACAGCCATCTCCGCGAACTCCTCGCCCATGATCCTTCGAATACGATAGCGTCGAGTCGAAAGCGGAAAAAAATCTGAATTGAAAATACTTCGATTATGCTCGGTGGAACGAAGTTATTATGGTTGTAGATAGCCTGGCGAGGAATTGGGTTGCGGGTTTTTCAGTCCAACTCATTGTACCATAGGCGCCGTTAATGTAGTTACATGGTGAATTTGTATCAAACTGCGACAAAGCTACGAGAAACGAGATATACTTTGAATGAAATAGAAACTTTGGAAGGGATTCGTAACTATGCAGCACGTGAACGCTGTATCGCAGAAAATCCTGACGTTGTCGGAGATCGATAAGTGTAACTATATCTCCATAGTTTTGCCATCGCCAGGAAACTCACGAGCGAGAAGTCTGCTTTGATTTATGTCACTGTAAATTACAGAATTATTCCATATCTTGGTAACCTTCGCGTCGGCGTTTCCAGCCACGAACAACCTTTTCAAGCCCCGTACGAGGCTGGCACGCGATCAATCCAGAAGTGATTCTCGACCTTTTCCATCGGTCGCTGCTCCGTCACAGCTCTTAATTGCTTTCCAAGGTTATTTCAACCGCGAGCAACAATTCCAGCTGCTCGATCATTGTCTTATGGGCGTCGTGGCTCCCGATCGCAATTACCTAACTTTCCCGTATAGAGGCAAGCGTTTGTTTTTTCTTTAAAGCATTCCATTTCCAGTTTGGAGAATCGTTTCCCTTATTCTCGTCACCGTGGCTCCACACTCGAGCGAGTTACTCTCCGAAAATTTCACCGATCATCCTCCGGCTCGTACTCCTTCCACCCTATCGAACGCGGTCCTCCAACAGTTTGGTGTGTGTTTTTTTCCAAGTGGAAACGCACGTTGAACTTTTTTGGACAACGACGCGACAACAACGACTCGTACAACGACCCGAGCTTCGCGCTCGACTTCGACGAAGAAAAGAGAAGTTTGCATTTTTACGAGATACTCCACCCTCTCCGACAACCCTCCCCTCCCTCCCTCTTTCTGTTTCTCTTCCTCCGTGTTTCATTCTGGCGTGTACCAGCCAGGTCACACTGGCTCCGTGCTTTCTACGTGCTCGTAGCGTGGCCGCGTTTTGTTCAGCGCATCGTCGTGGAATTCCTGCGCGACAATTTATACGAAAAGTATTTTTCGCCTTCTCGGGGCTCTCGCCGCAGACTACACATCACCGCGCTCTCGTGCACACGGTTTTCCAAGCGTTGCCCCGTCGTCTGGCGCGAGGGTACACACTTGCACACGCGAGAATCGTCGCTCAGATGCGCCAAGAAAACGGGATGCCGAGTCGTAGCTGCGCATTTCCGGCGTGGCCGTTGGAAATACCGAACTAGGATACGATTTCTTGATGCGTTTCGGCCTCCTTAAAGCGATGTCCCGGTGACAATTCACTACGTCGAAGGAATTTCCTCGTAAACATCATTGCAAGGGTGGTAGTTTTCTTGTACATCTTTCTCCCGCGCCATTCTCTTACGGGTATTACGAATGTCCAACAGATTCTTTTTATTTTTTCGGATTTTCCTCGATGCTAATTTATTCTATCGTAGGAAGAAAAATATTCGGTCGATCGATTTTTACTGGACACCGGGATTCGAACCCGGGATATATCTTCCGTTTGCCGGACTGCTTGTTTTCCAATTAAACCAACCAGGCGGTCGACGAATATTTTCTCTCAAACTCGTAAGTCTGAAATCACTGCCACTTACGCTATAACATTATCTTAATATTTCATGCTATTTTGAGGATAGCGCAGAACGAATTGAAAAAATAGTCAATTGCATTTTCATGAATATACATGAAATGTTTCCAATATAAAAAAATTCGTGTCAATATCGAGCGCGTACTATGCGACATATCCAATCTTTTATTCGAATTCATTGGTAATAATCCTCGTAGTGGACCAAACGATCAACTAACAAGCTCGCGCAAAGTGAAAAGCGGCATCCAATCGATCGGAAACACGACCATAATAAAATTGTATCGTGGAAAAAAGTGCATAGAAAAGAGAACACCGGCAAGATAGTGGAATAGGGGTTAGTTTTCATTAATCCGTGGCTATTTCTGTGGGAAAGGGAAGGCAATCGGCGCGTTCCACTCGGCGTGGTTGCGTGTAATTTTCACGCGGCCTGACGCGGAACCAATCACCGGGATGCGGTATCGAAACGCGGAATAATTTGCGCGCGCGCGACCGTCCACTGTAAAATACATCCATGGAACGGAACAGATAGCGCCATGGTACATTCCCGAATTCTATACACACCGCAACATCCAACGGGTCACCGATGAATTTCCATGCAAATGCGGCAAATTTCTAGCTAAACGGTATTAATAATTTATCACGGTACGACCATTTCGAATGTTAAGAAGCAACTACCCCTTTTTATTATTCACCCCGCATTGCTTTTATCATGTACACGCTACATTACCCGTGTACCATCCTTCTCTCGACCCTTTCATCCCCTAAGTGTCGTGTTGCGCCACCGTTTCGTAGCTACGATTCGTTCAAACTATGTTCCACGATCGACGAATCCAAAGAGATCACGCTGGCACGTTTCCACGGAAACTTTTCTCCCAGCCTAGTTGATCCGTCTAATTGATTAAACCCTTCTCACCGACGACACGAGAATCCGAAATATTTGATATCGGGGCAAATTGAAATTCCTCCGGCTCGAGCTTTTTGCATTCCCCGCGGGGAACGTCTCTGCGACCCGAGGAGCCGATCCGACTATCTCTCTCTCTCTCTCTCTCTCTCTTTCTCTCTCTTTGTCTTTCTCTCCCTATATATATGTATATATCCTTTCGTTTTATCCCTCGTTCGATCGGCGAACGTTAAGTTGCGCTCGCTAACTCGTTGGTTGAAATTGCGACGAAGAATCTCGCGCCAAGGTGACCCAGTCGAAAGATCGAGAAATGTCGCGCGTACGCGCCCTGAAATTCTGAAAATCGTTGGAATTTCTCGGTCACCGGCAGTGTTACCTTCCGACGAAGAATCGCGACACGTTATAATCGATCGTCCATCCGTTCGACGAAATTACGACGAAGAATTTGCGAGGGAACGACGCTCGGAGATTTCATGATTCGATCGTTCGACGGCACGCGTGCATTTCCGCTGGAAATCGGAAGAAATACCAGCGACCACGGGACGAAAGTTGCACGAGGAAAGAGCTGGACCGTGTGATAACGTCGTCGAGCTTGGAATTCACGGCCGTTCGGACAGCCAGATACCCTCTCGAATCGTAACTTTAAATTGCCCGGCAGAGTGATATCGGTGGCTTATGCGAACAGCATCGCGCTCGACTTTTTCCGATTCTCTTTTGCTGCTGTCCGCCTAGCTCGAGTTATTATACCGAGCCACTTCGGGAAAAACTTCTCAACTCTCGAGTTGTAACTACTCGTAACGTCTACCTCCACTCCGACGATAATCGTATCAAAACTGACTGAACTCTCTTGTCCAAATCCGCGCTCGAGTTTTAATAATTCGAGAACAATAATTTGGAAGCTAGGTTCAAGAGACGACGCTAGAAACGTTTAATCGAGAGCGGGTTATATTTTGAGATAAAAATAACAAACTCTTGGAACTCTCTCTCTCTCTCTCTTTCTCTCTGATCAACGCTTGGATCATTTTCTCAACTCTTCGACGTTTCAACAAGACCCTTCGTGCTAATACGCGTAACACGCATTCTTGGTACATGCAATTAAATCTGCACGTGCATTCTCTGAGTTGTTCCTCAATTTGAAGCCTAAATCGTCATTTCATACGAGTCTATATTTTACACATTTACACGATTTTCCTCAGCACGCAAGAATGATCAACATCTTCCGTATAAACGATTTTTTCCATATAAACTCGCTCGCGAGATCTACTGTGTACTAAACGAGGTACACAAGGACGTCTAAAAATTGAATTCAGAAAAAATAACCTGTGGGCAGGGCTTGTGAA